TGTAGGTAGCTTTCATACAATATAAGGGAGAGAAAGAAGTTTGCTCCATTCTCCTCTCTTATTGCTTTTGTTATCTTCCACCACCATGAACTGTTGCTCCTCTGCCTTGTCACCTTGCCCTGGAACCAGCTGATTATGGACTGAAACCTCTACAAACTCTGAACTAAATAAACCTTTCCTCCTTTAACCTTGGGTGTTGGCTATTTTGTCTCAGTAACGAGAGAGAAGTAACTAAGACAGTGAGCTTTTCCTGGATGGACCCGTCCTCATCAGTAGAGCCTGTAAAAGAAGTCAGATAGATAGCTCCTGCTGGCCTGAAGGAGAAAGAAGGGATTCAAGGTATGAGAGACTGAGGATAGAAGGTGCACAAGGTGGCAAAATGTGGCAGGAGGCTTCTACAAGTTGACAGAAGCCGTGGGAAGCCACTCAGCAAGAGAATAGTGACCTCAGTCCTACAGCCTGAAGACACTGTATCCTGCCAACAACCGCATGAGCTTAGAAAAGGACCTTGAACTCCAGTGAGGAACACAGCACGATGTCTACTTTGATTCTAGAGAACATAGCTTACTTGTGTCTGTACTTTGTAGCTCACAAAAGCCATGAGTATTTTTTGAACTGCTGAATTTTGAGTATTTTCTTCTGTAACAACAGAAAATTACTCTAAGTAGGGATCAAAGTTCCTTCCTCCCAACTTACCCCTAGGATCCTTATGGAAACCCATGCCCACCCTAGAACTCTGCATACCACAAGGATCTGGGAGAGATGTCAAGCCCCAAAGTGATTTTCATCCTTTTCTGCTGAATGCCTTTTGGTTGTAGAGTTACATAAAGGAGAGATGTCACTGTAGAAGAGATTTTTCTTTAATAAATTTCTGTGTCAAAAGAACTTGCTGGCTCCACCCATGCAGAGAAGCAATGCTGAGTGGCTAGTTTAAAAAAAATAACCTGCCTCACTTGGCTAACAGTGAGGTAAGTAGTAAAAGCAGAAATTTTGGGATGATGGTTGTAAATGGTTTGTAAAATGTGGCACCTAGACTGGAGCATCAGTATCATCTGAATTATTGGGTCTCATTTAAGATCTTGTGAATCAGAGATTGTGTTCTAACTAGCCCTCCAGGTGGTTTTGTTGTGTAATAAAGTTTGAATCCACTGACTTAGGCAAATAAGAGTTGATGACATAAATTATGTGTGGCAGCATTTTCTGAGCAAAGCCCTCTTTAAAAAAAATAGTTGAGGAACAAAGTATGCAGGGCACAAACAAAGCTCAAGGTTGTTCCTGCTGCACATGACCAGCCACCAAGTCTGCTACAAGCCTTCTATCTTGAAGGTCACAGACTCTGTGATGTTAGGTGTCAGAGGCATTTTGAGGTTTAACTCCTCCCAAGCCCCATGCCCATGAACTCTGCCACATCATTGATACTCAGTAAACACTTGGGGTGCATGAAAAAGGTGACACCAGAATGATAATTTCCCTGTTTGTGGTTTGAGATCTCTGCCTAGGTCCACTTAGGGGTAAATCCACCTTTTTAAAGAGAGATAAGAATGCTCCTCCAGTCTGCAGAATTTTTCTGGAACATCAGAAATATGGTGCTTGATGAACAGTGCTGTGGCTTATGAATAGAAGCCACGGAGCAGAAGCAAAGACCATCAGCGATCCTGCAGAGCCCACTCTGCCTCCTCTGGCTTTCCATTCAGCAGCAGGATTTAGCATTCTGGAATGGACCTAGCACTTCTGTTGGCCTCTGTTAAAATCTTTGACTACTCTGTAGGGGACCTAGGACAGAAACCCTTGCATGCTTTTGTGCCATATTGACATTAAAGAGAAAAGAGTGAGCATTTTGTGCACAACCAGCAGATGAGCAGTTTAATGACTCTTTGTAGCCAGTGAAAGCTGCCCCAAGGCTGCTTATTACTAGCCCACATTCCAAGAGCATAAGGTACTTTCTCGGTCAACCAGACTGTAATTCCTTCCATACCACACATTACTATGCGATTCTTGTTGCCTCAGAAAGCTCAGATGATTAAAAGAGTTTATGTTTGCCACTTCCAAAAATCCCTCTTGCAATTTAAATGATTCATGCACCCGAGTTTTACAAAAAAGAAAATAACTTCATTGTTATTTGCTCTGTTAAAGCCTTCGAGTGTTCAGCTTATTATTTGATTTATCTGGTAAAAATGAGTTTATCTCTAATCCTCTAATCTTTTCCATAAGAGAATTCATACGGAATAAGGGAAATTTCTTTATTGAACTAGCAAGGAAACAGCTGCTATTCTCATCTCCTGTCTGTCTCTTCTTCTTTTTTTTGGTGGGGAAGCTACTTGCTGTCACATGCTAGTATTCTCATGCCACATAGCAAATTTCAGAACTGGGCAGAAGAAAGAACCAAGTAGTAGAATGTTTTTCTCTTATCCCTGCACCAGAACAGTAGCACAGTTGTGATGGAGACTTTGAGTTTTCTCGGAGTGCATCCCCTCCACCTCTCTTTCTTTGTACAGATTCCCCAAGCTTTACTTGAGCTTAGGTGTGTGCTTGTATTCAGATACAGCATAATTCCACCATCACAACGACTCCTGAGTTGTCCCTTTTCGAGCCACACTCATTTCTCCATCGTCCCTCATCCTTTCAAAACACTGATTTGTTTCCCACTTTTATAATTTTGACATTTCAAGAATGGTATATAAATGGAATCATATAGTATGAAATCTTTTAGGGTTGGCTTTCCTATTTTTAATTTGGCATAATTCCTTTGAGAGTCTAACAAGTTGCAGGTACCAGTAACCTGTTTATTTTTTTAATTGCTGATTAGGGGTCCACGTTTGGGCACACCACAGTTTAACCATTTAACCATGAAGAATGCATAATTGTTTCTAAGTTTAGGCTATGAACATTCATGTACAGACTACTGAGGGATATAATTATTCATTTCTCTGGGACAAATGTCCAATAATAGAGGTGTTGTTTGTGTATTTATTTTGTTTTATTTTTTGTGGTGCTAAGGATTAACTCCAGGGCCTCATGCAATCTAGGTAAACCCTCCACTACTGTGCTGTATCACCAGCCCACCCATTTGACTTCATAAGAACCTGCCAAATTGTTTTCTAGTGTGGTTGCATCATTTTACATTTTACCAGCAATGTTCAAGTGATCCAATTTCTCCATTTCCTCATCAGCACTTCATATTGTCATTCTCTTTTTTTTTCTTTTGCTTTAACTTTTCTGATAAATATGGACTGATAGCTCCTTATGCTTTCAATTTTCATTTTTTCCTAATAGCTGATGATGTGGAGCATCTTTACAGTTGCTTATTTGTCATCTGTATATCCACTTCAATGAAATATCTGCTCATATTTCTTGCCCATTTTCTAATTTCATTGTTTGTTCCCAAGATAAGGAAAAAAGATTTCTTGAGTTTTGAGAGTTCTTTAGATATTGTTTCTACTACTCCTTTCTTAGATATGTGCTTTGCAGTCCCTCTTTCTTTTAGTGATTGAGTTCTTTGTTTTTAAGCTAAGCACATGGCTATCCAACCAGAGACTACTTTCCTCATGTTTTCTTGCAGCTAGGCTTGGCCACATGGCAGACTTCAGGCCAGTGACATAAGAGTGGAAATGATACAGGCAAAGTCATGAGCCATCCAGGAAGTCACACATTCTGGATGTCCATCTTCTTCCCTTCCCTAGAAGACAGACTTTGCTGCAACCCAGCTTTAACCATATAGACGAGGCCAAGGCAGAGGCCAAGATAGGTACTTTAGGGTAGGTGCCAGATGTTAAAGGATAAATAGTAAATATTTTATATTGTGGGTCACATGATCTCTGAAGAAATTATTCAATTTGCTGCTTTAGTGCAAAAGTAGCCTTGGACAACATGGAAATAAATGAGCCTGATTGTGTGTACATATAATTACTTACAGAAACAGGTGGTCATGAGAGTATAGCTTACTGACCCCTTGGGCAAAGTTACAGGACATCAGGAGTTGGGTCCCTAAATAGTCATGTGGAGTGGAACCATTGAATTATCCTTGGTGGCTGCCTGCAGACTAAGTTGTGAGGAAGAAAGAAACTTCTTGTTAAAGTCACTTTATTTTTGGGATTCTTTGTTGTAGCAGTTTGGCCAGTGCCTATATAATACAGAAGCTGGCAGTCACTGGGTACATGCTATGCCCACTGTGCAAATACGATTCAAAGGTAAATGACATATGTGCTTTGACAGACAGAGCTTGCAGTGTGCTTGAGAGGTGTGTTGAAAGTAGAGTGTGGCTGAAACCGAGCTATCCGAAAACACTCTGGAAATAGGGATGAGAGTGGGAAGAATGGAAACAGCACTTAGTGAGTGTCTAATGTATGGCAAACATTTTATTGTTATATCTCTGAAGGCACTAAGAAGCCAATGTAATATGTTATTATACTTGCATTTTAGAAATAAAAAAAAAAAACCCTGAGTCTATTAAAAACTCTTTAACTTACCCAATGGCATAAATAAATTTGAAGCCTTGAAAAGTATCTACCCAATGATGGATTTTATTCACTGTTGCCATACAGAGCCTGACCCAAGTCCTCTCTCTTGGAACACTTGGACACTTTCTTCCCTGCCTAGCAAGGAGAACACCGTCAGCATTGTTAACTAAGAATTATTAAGTGTCTTCTATCTACCCAGACCCCAAACCAGGAAGTGGAAGTTTAGAGGAATGAAGGGAAGGATCTGATCTTTAAAGGAACAAAGTCTTGACAAGGTGGTTAAGCCGTCACCCTATCCTTTCGCATTTCAGAGAGGCTGTCCTAAAGGGCTACTCTGCTCTTGCATGCTGAGATAAGCTCAGCGTCCACCCTTCCTCAGGACTCCTGGGAGATTTGTGATCACTGTCTTATTTACCAGCCACTCTACAATTTCAGGTCCCTTTCCTTTTCCTTCAGATATGATTCATGAACGAGTTTCTTCCTGTTGGAATAGGTTGAATGAAATCATCTCCTTAATTATCTGGTGGTTTTTGTCTTTCACAGTTTTGCTCTGACTCAGTGGACTTGGGCCCTGTCTTTGCATCGTCATGAGTTTCACACAGATGGCCAGACTTCCAAGCCCTTTGTGTGCCCTTTCTGACTTCAGCATTTGCCCAGCTCCTGGTCCCGTGCTCTGGACCCCATGTGAAGAATTTTGACTTTGATTCTTTTTACATCCTCACTTGATTTCTGGCACTGGCTTGTCTTGGTTTCACGGTCTGTCAAATTGGCAAACACTGCCAAGAGATTAACCGAAATGCAATAAATAAAGTTGGGTGAAAGATGAAGACAAAGAATCTGGTTTGCGAGTCTTTTCTGGTTATTTGTTAGCTTGGAGGTCAAATCTACCCACTAAGAAGAGAAAAAGTCTTGATGTAAATTGGTGAGTTCTGTATTTTATGTTTATTTATGTAATTTTATGTATGTGATTATGTAATTTTAAAAAATTATATAATTTTAAATTTGAAGACATGGCTTTCCCTGTGTATGTTATGTGTATGTGTCTATAAATGAAAAATGGGTTTTACTTCTCATATGTGTGTACTATTTTCCTACTTCTGGGTGGTATTGTCAAATTAGATTTAAACATCTTCTGAAGGATCTCTATTATGAATGATTTAAAAGTAAATAAATACTCTTAGAAATTTGAAATTCTCCTAATTCCTGGAAATTAGGAAATTAAAAGTCAAATAGTTTCAGTGTGGAAAAAAAAGAGTATGGATGAATTAATTATGAAACATTTTGAGAATTCATAGTTTAGGAAAACATTTGGCAAACAAGACTAGTTCAGCAATTTTGGCTTAAAAAAGAGTTATACTTTCTCTAAGTTACCAGCATTAAGTGTAATAGAAACATACATTTTTATTCTTCTTGGGTATGGTCTCTCTCAGTTTCTATAGGTTCACTACTCAAATAAGCTAATGTTATTTCTAGTTAATGTTTAAAATTCTGAAAAATGTTAGCTTGTATTTAACCAAATTGAATCATTAGCCCAAAAAATTTATTTCAGTGCTAATTATGTTTTGTAGTATGTGAGCTTGAAGATGGTTTCCAAGATCTTTAGATGATTTAAAACCTTAAACTTCTAATTAATTCAGTGAATTCATAGACATTTGTTGGATATACTCATCACTTACAAGTAAGATAAAGAACTAAAGCATTAATTATTAATCATCTTTTTTAGTTTATGTTTGTACCTTATTTTTATGTGCTCAAGAAAGGCTATATACATATTTTGAGTGTGTTAATGAGTGCATTCTGTTCTACCACTGTATTTTTCTATCTTTCTTTTGAGATAGGGTCTAACTTGACCTCACCATGTAGCCCAGGCTGGTCCCTGACCTTGAACTCACTACAATCATCCTGTCTCAGCCTCCAAGTGCTGGGATTATAGGTATACACCACCACGCTCAGCCTCCTACTGTATTATAAGGGATATATATGGTTATAGGAACTAAAACTGTAAACTCTGCTGATCTACTCTGTGACTGACAACTCACAGTTATCAGCCTCTTAATATTTTTCTAGGGAATAGAAGTTGTTGTGGTTAACAGCTGTCATCAGTATAAATGAATGCACTTCCATTAGGAGCAGGATTTATGCAGGCACAGCTTTGTATGTAAAGTAGGTAGGATGTGTTTTATTGTTAATGAAAACAGAAAGCAGAGAAAGAGAAAGAGAAAAGAATAAGAACAAATCTGAATGCATATAAAAACTTGAAGATTTATAGATGGGAAAATTTATTTATTGTGGCCAAAGCGAGCTAAGACATGATGGGTTTGCTTATAAGCGTCCTGAAAAAACTTTGATATCAAATATTAAACTGACATAAAATGAAAATTTGTTCTTCTGTTAAAAATGACAAAATTTTCTTAGATCATTGGTTTCATCTTAATATAAGGTTATAAAATGATATTCTTTTTCTTTCTGTGTAATCTGATTAGATAGCAAAGTTTCGGTCTCAACAAAATAATAAAATAACCTGTTTTATATTCATTTTATTATATTCTTGATGACTTCTGAAAAAGATTTCTCAGGAAAGAAGTAAGATTCTTGATAATCATGTTATCTTCTATGTTATTTTTTCTATGTTTATTTTCAAATATTTTATTCTCACTTTGAAATGAAAGATAAAATATTGTCTCTCAGACACCCATGATCCAGTTCTTTTCTTAGGTGTTCCAATCTCCTAACAGCTTTTGATTTTTGCCTTTCAAAAACTAGATCATATATATATTTTAAATAAAACTAAATCTTAACTGACTTCTTTTGCACCTAAAAGTATATTTGAGATTTCTTAGGGGTATGCTTGAAAACCACAAGGGATTTAGTATTTTATCTCGCAAAAGATGTGCTAAAAATAATGTTTGTTATGTTACTATTGACAAACTGCAAAGAGCTATTAAACTAGAACAGATGCTGTTTTTCCCTAGGTTTAGTTTGTACAGGTAACATTATTAATGCAGATATTTCAGAATCACAAGCTGGTTGGGATTCCTAGAAATGTATTGATGCTCTTGCTATGTGACATGTTTCTCTTTATCAGAATCCTGCTGCTTTGTTACTAAAACTGCACTGGCCAGCTTTCTGTTCCTGTGACAAAATGTCTGAGGTAAATAACTTACAAGGATGAAAGGTTATTTTGGTTCATAGTTTAAGAAGTTTCAGTTTATAGTTATTTGGCCTTGTTGCCCTTGGGCCTGTGGCAGCACAGAACGTCATGGCAGGAACACTTGGCAGAGCAGGCCTGTTTACTTCATGGTAGCCAGCAAGCAAAAGAGAGAAGAAGGGGCCAGGGTCTCAACATCCCCTTCAAGGGCAGCTTCTAGGGACCTCTACCAGGCCCCACCTCTTAAAGAGGCCAATGCCTTATGGAGACATTTCAGATCTAAACAACAATATAGTGTAAATTTTAGGTTCAGTTATTTTTTATTTTTTAAACTTTTTGGAGAAAGGATCTTGCCATGCAATTAAGGGTGGGCTTGAACTTACTATGTACCTCAAGCTGGTCTCAAATTCATGGCAATCCTTTGACCTCAGTCTCCCAAGTACTGGGATTACAGGGATATGCCCCCGCTTTGCATCTTACTTCTTTAGTTTAAATCATGCATCTTCTAGCCCAGTGATTTTCAAGTGGAATTTTTTCAACTTATAGAGTTATATTTAACATACACAGATATTTAGAGCTTACCTCTGGCTTATAGATTCTCTTTACTTGATATTCTTGATGTACTCTTGGTGCTTTCTAACTATATGTTAGGTGTCTTCATGCTATATTATGTTTAAGGATTATAATATATTAAATTTGAAGATTTTTTCCTTTTATCTCTCTCCTTCCTTTTGTGGTACTGGAAATTGAACCCAGGGTCTTTGTATTGGGTCATATCTTCAAACTCCCCACTTTAAAGAATTTATTATTTTTTGGGATGGGATCTTGCTAAATAGTTAAATTACTTAGGCTAAGCTTGAAGTTGCAATCCTTCTGCCTCAACTATCAAGAGTATGAGGATTATAGGCATGCACCACCATGCCTGGCTCGATGACTTTTTCTTGGTAAATATTATGTTAATCCATTTTTATGAATCAGGTATAATATCCACTTTTCTTTAGAAACAGGGTTAATCACCAAAACATAGATATTTTGTTTAAACTTTTAAAGATTGACTTTTACCTTGTTTGCCCAAAAACAAATTGTCTTCCTAGTTTCATTGTTTTCTTGTGTGAAATCGCATTAGATCTTTCAGTTTTGAAAATTACATAAACTGTGTTTTGTCTGGTGGAGACTTAATTGGCTGTCTTTGCACCTTCCTGGAAAACATTAGGTTGTTTCTTGTTACCTTGACCCAATTGTAATCAGTACCAAATTCCTACCCTTCCCATTTTCTTTAGTACCTTGTTACCTTCCTTGAAACTAACTTTTCCAATTTTTTGCCCTCTTTCTGGATCCCACATCATGGAGATCTACAATCTGGCTGTTCCGATTCCTGCTGTGACTCTAGCTTACTTGCAGCAGGTTGTTTCTCCTGCGGTCTGAAGAACACTTGCAAGCCAAAGTCTGACAACTTGAAACCAATTTCCAAGGGTTCTCCATTTCAGCAGACTGCATATGGCCCAAATTTTCCCAATGTAGTTGGGCAAAGGAAGGCCAGTGAAATGCCCAGGTCAAATGGGAGGTAATCAAGGGAGAAGACATCATCACTATATGGTCAGCATTTGAGCAGGAGTTCAAGAAACCCAAAGAAGCCAGGCATGGTGATGCATGCTTATAATCCCAGCCCTCTCAGAGGCTGAGACAGGAGGACTGTAAGTTTCAGTTCAGCCTGGGCAGTTTAGCAACTTAGCAAGATTCTGTCTGAAAGAAAAGGAGAGAGAGAAAGAGAGAGAGAAGAGAGAGAGAAAAGAAGCAAAGAAAGAATAAACTCAGTATGAAAGCTCTGGGTCCAATCTTTATACTGAAAAAGAAAGAATGAAAGAAAAAGAAAGAAAGAAAGAAAGAAAGAAAGAAAGAAAGAAAGAAAGAAAGAAAGAAAGAAAGAAAGAAAGAAACAACAAGAGAAAGAAAGGAGAGGCCAAAAAAGAAACCCAAAGAGAAATGCTTAACCAAAGAGTTGCCTCACCAACCTCTTGAAATCCACTGAACTGGTTTCCCTCAGGTCCAATTCCTCACTCTTTACTTAAATCCAACTGTTCATATTAACCCTTCTCTTTTTCATTTTTAGGTATCCCTCTTCAAGATGCCTACCCTCCAGAATGCTAAAGCAAGTGATATATGTTATCATCTTTCAATATATGTTGCAATGAGTTTTTTACCGACAAATGTCCTAGGAGACTATGTCTCCAGTCCTGCTCTGGCCTCTCTGGAAGTTTATGAGCACTTTAGAGTTGTTCAGTAGTGAATGAGATGTGACAATGTGGAACTTTTTCTTTCTGAGTCCTGTGCTCCCTGGAAGTTGTAACAATTAAGAAATCCCTTGCACTCTTTCATGTCCAGGAAGGAGCTAATCACAAACAGTCATGCTGCCCTTACCTGTCCTGAGACAGACCTATGTCTGTCGTTCCTCATGACTCCTTTAAGACTGAAGGATGACTCCTTTATTTATTTGTACAGTATTATGGTTTAGATCTAAAATAACTTTGAAAAGACTCCTTGTTCAGAGTTTGGGCTTTGGAAAATGATTCGGTCATGGCGTGCACTATTGCTGCTAGGGGGTGGTCCTTGTTGGAAGAGGTGGGTCACTGGAGGCTTGACCAGGAAGGGTCTATCTCCCTCCCTGGCTCCTCCTTCTTTCTCTCTGTTTCCTAATCATGAAGACGTGAGCAGCTTTCCTCTGCCAGATCCTTTCACCATTCCTTTTCTGCCTTGGAGCAGGCTAGCGTAGACTGAAAATGTGACCCAAAGTAAATCTCTCCTTTAAGTTATGAGTGTCTGGTATTTTGTCCCAGGGATGAGAGAGTGACTAAGACAACTTGCTTGTGTAAAACCTCAGATTCCCTTCCTTCCCTCTGAGACGTTCCTCATTAATGAACATTCTCTTTATTGTTATCACCTTAATAAAGTCATATCCTTAATTGTCTGACGTATTTTGCTTTCTTTACCTTTTTTCCCCTCATTTCTATAGCTGGGTCCAATTTTCTTCTCTCTGAGTCTTAGTTTCCTCTTTATCCAAGGTTTACTGTGTCCTCTTCTCAGTGGTGTGGTAATTAAATGAGATAATAATGGGAAAGGTTCAATTGCCATACTAAGTGTTCAATTACTATTAGTCCCTCCCCTGAGAGGAAAAGAGTGGGAGCCTGTGCAAACATGGGTGCAGCAATGTAACTGTGTCTCCAGATGTGGGGAAACAACTCAAAGTAGGAGCCCTGATACTTAAGTAAACACAGAGAGCAGATGGATCATTTTGTATGGGCAGAAACTATGTTACTGATATATGTTAGAAGTGCCTCTTCCTTCTGAGAAGTAGATTCCTATTTCATTTGGGAATGCATGTAGGATAGCAGAGAGCCTGTTACACATTAACACTGAGATTGTCCAAAAGATAACTTGCCTTTGCAAACCAAAGGCAAAGATCCTCTCAAATGATAGCCCCCACCTACCCGGAAAGGCTGGATGGGTGCAGGCCCATGGTGGATTTACTATTCCCAGAGAGGTCATGGCAACTGTCAGATGAGGGTGCCAGGTATGTAGGCCATATTCAGACCTCAGGTCCAAAGAACACAGGTGAAGAGTGAAATTCCTAATGGTGATTGGGAGGAAGCCCGGCCAAATCAGCTGGCAGTGACTGCAGGAAACCGCACTTCAGGACTGCAGGAAAGGAGAAGATCTGGAGACTGTGAACATTACACAGCCATTCACAGGTAAGAGAACGAAGTCACGGCTTGATAATTCAATTGGAAACTCAAATTTCCACGGCTAGCATTTATGGAATACCAGTTTTAGATACACAAATGCAAAGTAATCAGAAAAACGTTTGCTCCCGAAAAGTGATCACCCTGGTGTTTTGCATTAAGCTGTAATCAGCACGAATGTAAAATAAGCAAATTCTCAAAACCTGAAGATTGTAAAATTGGAGAAAGGAACACTGTGTTTGGGGATCTTAACAAACATTTTCTGGACAATTTGTGGCTTCCTGTCAGCCACCACTCTCTTCCTTGGTGATGCATAAGTTTTCTGTATTTTCAATTTTTTCCTTCCTGCCATGCCTTTTTATTTAATTCTTACCCTCATCAGGGCTGAATTATTCAGTGAATATGGCAGACACAGGGCAATAGTACTTTTAGGGCCTTGCAAAATTGTTTTACTTTCTTCTAAAGTCAGATAAAAAATAAATTTTAAAATATTTTGATATATAACATTAATAACTCATCTTTATACCAATGCCTAAAATATAACTTTAAATATTTGTATTGTGGAAGGAGCCTGAAATCACTGTGCTTTGAGCCCATGAAAGTCAGAGTGCAGACCTGACTAGTGGGTCTGTGGTAAGAACAGTAATGCTCTGTTCTAAATACCTCCAGTGGGTCCCTGAAGCCACACATAGTACCAGACCCTACACGGTCTATGCTATATTGTCCTATGTATACATACCTATGATAAAGTTTAATTGATAAATTAACTACAGTAAGACTTGACAACAACAACTAGTCTTAGAACAACCATAACAAAATTCTGTAATAAACATCATGTGAATATGGTACCTGTCCTCAAAATATATTCTTATACATTGAGTTTTCCACTTAAAGGAAGCATTTTACAATTTTTCTTTGGCAAATCTGAATTGCCAAAATCACTATGCTTGTGTTTTAGGGACATTAAGTAAAATAAAGGTTACTTGAAAAGAAGTACTGCAATATAGCAACAGTTGATTTGATAACTGAGATGCTTACTATATGACTAATGGGTGGGCAGAGTATACAGCATGAACACACTGCACACAGGGATGATACATGTTCCAGGCAGGGTGTTCAGGCAAGACAAAAAGATTTCATCATGCTCTCCAGAAAGGTGCATACAACCTATGAATTCCTCATTTCTGGAATTTTCATTTAATACTTTGGGGACCAAGTTGACCTGGGGTAAGAGAAGTCATGGAAAGTGAAGCCACAAATAAAGGAAAAGTAGCATACTCTTAAATTCTTAGGGACATAGAAACTAAAGGGTGACACTTGTTTTTTATCTGTAGTAAAGCCAGCAAGGTCCAAGGTCAGATTTTCAGACAAACCTCTGGGTTGCTGACACTCTTGTGTGCAGTATCCTGCCCCTGTGGACTTCAGCAAGGTTTCCTTCCTGGCTCCAGATGTGGGCCTTCAGCACCAGCTGTCTCACTCTGAGGCATTTGGAAACAGCAAATTTCTGGTGGCAGTGATCATTAGCAATCCAGATTTGGACACGATAAAAAGAACACAGTTACAACTAACCTGGTTATTTTTCAAAGCACAAGTCAACACATAATCTGAGATAATATTTCCTCCCCCATTCTATGTATTTAAATTTTAAATATTTGTATATACTTACATAAATTTTATGTATTTGTACAAATTTTAAATATCTGTATATTGCAAACTTTGAAAGTCAGTTAGTCATATAATGAAGTGACGAGCTTTATGGTAATAAAATATTGTGAAAATAAATACACAAACTGGCAATTAGACCTGACTATTATTAATTAGATGCTTGAATCCTGATTACCCAACTGGCCAAGAAGGTGCAAGACACAGGGGCACAGCAGGTGTCACACTTCTTCCTTTGTGGGGGCATTTAGGCAACAATACCAGATTTGTTACTGCAAGATTTGTGTCTCTTCCCTATCTTTTGTGAGGGACAAATTTAACAATAACTAGCACTTGGGGCTGCTACTCTGTGTCACACACTTTTCTTATATTCCTATCTGAACATCCCGAAAATACTGGAAAGTACATAGTCAAATTCTCCTTTTATAGAAAAGGAGTGTTGCAAAACTTGTCAATGACTGAGAACCAGAAGTGTTGTCTCACATTCTAACTCTGTTCAGATCAACTGGGGAGTGGCTTTGGGCCTCAGATATAGTTTCAAATCACTGTAACATTCTAAATTCAGAATGGAAGTGAGCCATCCAGGTAGAGGAGGCTGGGGTCTTGACAGGTAGCTCCCACACTGGCTGGTTGCTGAGAGGGCCTCTCAATGTTTTCTCCTTCACAGATGGCTTCCTTGGGCCCTATTCAGGCCAAATCCATCCTAGCCCCCTAAATTTGCTTCATGCTGATCTCAAATGACCTTCCCAGGCCTCTTTTAGCCCCTGGGTTCATCTTAATCTCCTTCTATTCCCAGACAGTCCTCCATGAGGACCCCAGTTCACACTAGCTTATCCTTTCTCTGAATCCCTGCCACACTTGTGGAAGTGGAAGACTGTATGCTCTGTATTTTGTGTAGAGGAAGATCAAATTCATGATCTCTCCAATTTTAGTTCTCAGACTTAGAGATCCAAGCAGATAGTGAAAAGATGTGTAAACTCTTCATGTCCAGCATTCCCCTTTGACACCTGATCTGAAATCCACTTCCCAACAGCAGGGGTTGATGGATATTTATCAGTTGATGTACTCAGAACACTGAGAAACAACAATATCCCTCAGAGATTGTAAATTTCCTCTTTTTTTCTCTGGATTTCAAAGGTGTACAAGAGCTCTTTTTGAAAACTATTCTGCAGCCTGGTCAAGGAAGGATATACCTTTAGCATAGGCCTGTTGTTATGCAAACCTTCTATATACTCTTTCAGCAAAGCCCAAGTCTGTAGACACCTGTCAGCCGTTAAATGTCTACATGTTACCCTTTGGATGTGAATGTCTCCCCAAGGTTCGTGAGTTGAAGGCTTAGTTCCCAGCTGGTGACATTTTGGGAGGAAGTGAAAACTTTAGGTCATTGGAGGCAGCCCTTGTACGATATATCTTGTTCCCAGCTCTTCTTCTCTGTCTCTTTCTGCATCTTGTCTGCCATAAGGTGAGCAGTTTTCTTCTACCACATCCTCCTGTTGTGATGTTTCTACCTAGTCACAAGCCTAAAAGCAATGGAGCCAGCTGACCATTGACTAATACTTCTGAAACCATGAACCAAAATACACCTTTCCTCCTTTAATTTGCTATTCTCAGGTATTATGTCACAGTGATGGAAAACTAACACATGGGACATCAATTAATCTAGCACATGTGATATCCATTAAGACTCAAGTGCAAGCTGTGTGTGGTGGTACACACCTGTAATCCCAGTACTGAGAGAGGCTGAAGTAAGATAGTTGCATGTTCAGGTCCTGAATGGGCAATTTAGGGAGACCATGTCTCAAACAACTGAAAGGACTGGGGATATAGCTCAGTGTTAGAGTGCCCCTGGATTCAATTCCCTGTATTGAACAAGAATCAAAGAATCAGGTACAACTTAAGTCTTCTCTGGTTCTTTGCATTCATACTGCTTACATTTTACAAATTAAACTGTAAAATCCTAGCATGGACAGGTGAGTCTTCCATTTATTTGTTGCCATGGGCCTTTACTGTTTCATTTACTGGTATTCAATATGTGCTTAGTAATTTTGTCAGTGGATGAAAGGTTGAATGGATTTTTACATTTCCTGCAACCTAAACTTAGGAGTACAGCTTCTCTTCCATCTGAGGAGCAGACCAAGACAAAGTGGTTTACCTAGAGCTCTATTCCGAGCGGATCAAATTGTTCTGTTCCAGGAGGCTGAAGGGTGTGGCTTGAGGCATTCCCTGGAGCGCCTTTGAATTTCCTTCTGTGCCTGCAGATCTCTCTGCTCTGCAGTTTTACCTGTG